CAAACCCTAAATATCACCATCTAAACCCTAAACCCCACTAAACCCTAAACCCTAAACCCTAAACCCTAAACCCTTGGATTGTTTGTTGGGCTTACGTGCTTGTATGTGAGTTGGGTACTAAGAAACGGATGACGTAGTAGTGTTGGGGTTTAGGGTTTTCCAGCGCCAGCGACAGATGCCGGTCGTCGTCAGATGAGGGAGAAACACAAAGCGAACCCTCAGGGGTATTCCCAGGAAGCGGAAGACCCTGCAGCAGCAGCAGCAGCAGCAGCAGCAGCAGCAGCAGCAGCAGCAGCAGCAGCAGCAGCAGCAGCAGCAGCGACAGCAGCGAAAATTGTAGCAGGAGCAGCATAAGGGGTATCCCCGATGATAAACCCTAAACCCTAAACCCTAAACCCTCGGATCTCCACAACCCGAGAAGCAAGGGAAAGGGTAAGAGAAGAGCGTGTGACCGTAAACCCTAAACCCTAAACCCTAAACCCTAAACCCTGGTGTATTTGTGTACCGCGCAAGTAGAGAGTGGCGTTTGTGCGGATTGACATAGAAAGAGACAAATTTGTTGGGGTAGGGGTCCTTGTTGTGTGGTGGTTTGTATAAGTATATGTTTATTATTTATATTTGTTTTGAAGGCTGCATGCTGGTAGCGGCAGGACTGCATAAAGGGGATTAAACTAATGAGGGTTAGTTCATCTATTTCCAGTAAAGGAAACAACCGAGGGTCTTGCTTGCTGCTCTCGCTTGATGCTGTTATCCTTATCACTGCAGCAGCAGAAACATCTCCTCCTGCAGCAGCAACTGACACCGATCCAGCTGCTCTGTCTCCATCCTTTTCTCCTTCTGCTGCTGCTGCTGCTGCTGCAGCAGCAGCAGCGGGGGGTGTACGTACACCGCAGATGAAATCCCCGTAAGGGGCCAAGCCACGCCTGTAGTCGCTTCGCGCCCGCAGCGCCACCAAACCAGACCACTCAGGCTCAGACGCACGCCAGCACGATGGCTGCTCCTTAGCAGACTGCAGCAGCAGCAGCAGCAGCAGCAGCAGCAGCAGCAGCAGCAGAAGGAGCAGCAGGAGATGGAGGAGATGGAGCAGTGGAACGGGGAAAGGAAGAACAGAAAAAACAGCAGAAACAACACAGGTTTAGGGTTTAGGGTTTAGGTCTAACCCTAAACCCTAAACCCTAAACCCTAAACACTGTATATACAAATACAAGAAATTCATGGGTCAGATCAACGCCAAACCCTAAACCCTAAACCCTAAACCCTAAACCCGACAGCTGCCAAGGCCTCTGGATCTGTATCAGCTATTGTTAAACATTTCTTGCTCTTATCGTGCCCCCAAACCCTAAACCCTAAACCCTAAACCCTAGACCCAAGAAACCCCTAAACCCTAAACCCTAGACTGAAGAATCCCGTAAACCCTAAACCCTAAACCCTCATACCAGTGCTGGATCTGGTTTGGTTTCTCTGTCTGCATTGCAGCAGGCAATGGAGACAGGGTGGTTGTTGAAGGGGTAGAGAGTAACGAGAAAAGGATTATATTTATCTTTATTTTCTCTTTGCGGGATGAGTTGAGGAATACAGTAATGTGAAGAGTCAAATATAGACTCAGATAAACGAAATGTAAACAAACGCAAGCTGTCTGTACACCCCAAACACAAACAAAAAAAATAAAAAAAAAAAATTATTTATTTTTATTTTTATTGTTTTATTATATGTTTTTTTGTTGTATATTTTTTTTTATTATAGTGCGATATATTATACAAATAATAATATGGATCATATACACAAATATAATATACAACATCAACAATAAACCCTAAACCCTAAACCCTAAACCCCAATATTACAAACATAAAGAGCAACCCCTTTAAGCAGACTATCAAGCCTGATGAGGGTTTAGGGTTAAGGGTTTTGAGGGTTTATGAGGGTTTACGGTTCTGTATACTTAACAGCTGCAGTTTTTCTGCTGCAGGAAGCGGCTTTTAGGCTTTAGGGTTTATTATGAGGGTTTAGGGTTTATGCGGGTCTCGGGTTTATGAGGGTTTAGGGTTTAGGGTTTACGAGGGTTTAGGGTTTACGAGGGTTTACCTGGCGGCATGATGAAATCCAGGGGCCTCTCCAGGGTGAGGGTTGTGAGGGCCCCGGGGGCCCCCAAAACCAAATTAAAATCATGGGGGGCAGAAGAGGAGCGCAGCATAACAGAGATAAACAACACGCTGTCTTTCTCTGAAAAATAAATAAATAAAATAAATAAATAAATAAAATAAATAAATAAATTAAATAAATAAATAAATAAATAAATTAAATATGATGGATGTAGGGAAAATAAAACAGGGATTCATGTTGTCAATGTTATACAACCCATACGTAAACCCTAAACCCTAAACCCTAAACCCTAATAAGAAGCAGCTACCCATCAAAAAACACCAACAAAGACAGATGCAGAAAATAAAGAAAAGATGTAGCTGCCTATACACCCTAGAACAGTCGCTTCAGCCTTCTAAATCGTTCCTAGGGTTTAGGGTTTAGGGTTTAGGGTTTGGGGTTTAGGGTTTAGTGTGTATACAGCATACTGGGTCGAACGGAGAGGTAGTGTGTGCCCGCAATAAACCCTTGCGCTTCAATAGTCTTGCATGCAGCAGCAGCATCATCACCTGGGGCCCCTCCTGTGGGGGCCCCCCCCTCGGGGGCCCCCCCCCCCTCATGGGGGCCCCCNGGGGCCCCTCCTGGGGGGGCCCCCCCCTCGGGGGCCCCCCCCCCCTCATGGGGGCCCCCCTCAGGGGCCCCCCTTTCAAAGGGGGTTTGGGGTTGACAGTCCCAGGCAGCCAGAAGAGAAAAAGGAGAGGTTTCCTGAGTTTCTTGGGGGTTGCTAGTTGGTCTCTCTGTTAGGGTCTGCATGCAACAAACCCTAAACCCTAAACCCTAAACCCTTGGAGGGTTTGGCTTCGTTCAGCGGAGCAGTTATACACCTGCCAAGGAGCTTGGGGGTCATATGTAGGGATCAAGGGGGGTTTATGGTGTTTAGGGTTTAGGGTTAATTAGGGTTTAGGGTTTAGGAGCGTTCGGAGTTGTTTAAGGATTTCTATTGTTCATGAGTTACTAGGGTTTAGGGTTTAGGGTTTACGATATCCTGATCCAATGGTTCATAAGCAGTTAATTAGGGTTTAGGGTTTAGGGTTTACGACGTGGAGCATGTCTTGATCTGAGGGATGAGACCGAACAAACTAGGGTTTAGTGTTTAGGGTTTAGGGTTTAGGGTTTAGGGTTTACGATATGTAGCATATCTTGATCTGAGGGTTTGTTGCCGGCGAAGCATCCGTTTTGTTTGTTGCATTTATAAGAAAAGAGAGAAGGGAGGCGACGAGAGGCCCTACCCTCAACCCCCCCACAAACCAAGGGTTTATCGGGGGCCTCACGAGAGCACTGCATGCAAACCCTAAACCCTAAACCCTAAACCCTAAACCCTAAACCCTAAACCCTAGTTTACAAATGTTGCGGAACTGCCGATACACACTATATATACAACATATCCTATAACACTAATAAACCCTAAACACTCATTCCACACAAACCCTAAACCCTAAACCCTAAACCCTAAACCCTAGACCCTAAACCCTAAACCCTAAACCCTAANCACAAACCCTAAACCCTAAACCCTAAACCCTAAACCCTAGACCCTAAACCCTAAACCCTAAACCCTAATTTCTTACTTGTATTTCTTCTGCTTGTGCGTCTTGTTTAGAGATTCCATGTATACGAGCGACGAGGTGGGGTTTACAGGGTTTATCACAAACAGCGAATAGAAAAAAGGGTTTAGGGTTTGAGGGAGAATACAAAACCCTCGCCTCATTCAGAGAAAAATATGTATATACACTACCCGTGGCGGTTACGTCCCGCAGGTCGGTGCATGCATGCATGTCGCTCGAAGCAGAAAATATCAATAGACGAAGGGTCTAGAAAACACACACAAACCCTAAACCCTAAACCCTAAACCCTAAACCCTCGAAAGTTCGAAACCCTCAACCCTCATATGAAACCCTAGACATCAAACCCTCATAAACCCTAGAAAACTTCACACTAAACACTCAGCAAAACCTAAACCCTAAACACTCACAAACCCTACCCCGTCACCAACGGTAAACACCCACCAACCCTAATAAACCCTAAACCCTAAACCCTAAACCCTAATGAGCCCGAACCCCCCTTCTTCACCGCCCTTCCCTCTCCCTGATAAGCCTTGTAAACCCTAAACCCTCACAAACCCTAAACCCTAACCCCTCGAAGCCTAATGCGTACATGTATGGGGGACTCAGCTGTAAGAAAGAAAGAGAGAAGAGAAGAAGAAGCAACAGCAGCGGACCTAAATATAAAGTTTTTTTTGTTGTTGTTTAGGGTTTCTATCTCCCCCCAATCAAACTCGTATCGATGCAAAAGAGAAAAAGTTTCAGCAGAACTCACAAACTCACGCATACGCCCAAATATTATCTATATACACACACACAAACCCTAAACCCTAAACCCTAAACCCTCGAAAACCCTCGCAAACCCTCAGAAACCCTCGGAAACCCTCGGAAACCCCCGGAAACCCTCGGAAACCCTCAGAAACCCTCAGAAACCCTAAACCCTAAATTCTAAACCCTCAAGAAAAAGCAACACTAAGTAAACCCTTAATAAAACACTAAACCCTAAACCCTTCATATCTTTAGTACCCTCTAAACCCCTGAGCAGATGAAAATAAAAAATGCAACTCAAAAACCCTAAACCCTAAACCCTAAACCCTAAACCCCAGGAGACTCCTTATCCTAAACCCTAGCCCTTAAACCCTAGTAACTTAGAGCACCGCAAGTGTTCGCTGAGCCACAGATGCAGGAAGGTTTCTGTTTACTCTAGGGTTTAGGGTTTAGGGTTTAGGGTTTACCTGGGTAGGTGGTCTTCCCGTGTGTTGCGTTAGGATTTTACAATACTGTTCATCATCCTCGTCTTCGCTGCTGCTGCTGCTGCTG